TTATAAAAATAATTGTTTTTTTTTTTGTAGCCCTAGTCTGAATGTGATTGGCATTGTTTCTGAGACAACCAGATCCATTTTATTTTAATTGTTACTTCACCTGTGAGTTCATAAGAACACATTTGTATTAATCTGATTTTTTCATTAAGTGGTTATTACCAGCTGTGTGTGCGGCTGATGCATTACAGTCTCTATATCCTCTCAGTGGGCTGCAGGACATTAGAAAGCATTTAGCCATCATAAAACAAACTGATTCTTCAGAGATGTATCCTCATTCTTAAATTTATTTGGAGAAAATAGTTATAGTTAATCAGGCTTTTAAATCAGTGTGAGCCAGTATTGGAGGATGGGTTTAAGCAGTCCCTATGGGTTTTTGCAGTTGTATTTTGTGACTGTTGTGGCCAAAAATGCTTGATTTTCCAGCAGTTTTTTTTCTCTTTTACTAAATTTGCTTGGCAACTGGCAGTTCTGTGTGTTTTTTTGTGGAAAATTTTCACAAATTGCCAAAATTTTAACTTGCAAGTTCGAGAAAGTTTATTTTTAAAGATTTTAAAATAATTACTGTCTTTGCATATTTCATTAAAAACCACATAAACAATCAGATTTTTGTGCTCACACACACACAAACACAGGGATGCACTGATTCCACTTTTTCTGTCCTGATACCGATACCTGGGCTTTGTACGGTGGCCCTGAAGGTCAAAACACAACGACATTTCAGAAAAGACAACATTTCAGAAAACACGACATTACAGAAAACACATTTCAAAAAGCACCACATTACAGAAAACACAGTGACATTTCAGAAAACTGAACATTTCAAAAAACACAACGACATTTCAGAAAACCGAAAGGGTAGGACCACATTTCTTGTTTATGATTGGATAGTACCCTTGGAGTGACATGGGTACTGCCCAATCATGGACAAGAACTGTGGCCCTACCCTTTTCCTGATTGCGATTGGACAGTACCCATGTCACTCACGACAGTTCATTTAATGGGTGCGGTCGACTAAGGTCTGTCTGCAGCTGACGCGACGTGGAGCGAGATCTGCCGGTGGCTGGAGGAGTGGAGTATAAACTGACTGCAGCCAAGTCGGACAACTTCTACTCCTCGTAGTGTGTGAGACCTGACTGCAATCACGAACAAGAAGTGTGGTCCTACCCTTTCCATTTTCTGAAATGTCGTTGTGTTTTTTGAAATGTTGTGTATTTGAAATGTCATGTTTTTTGAAATGTTGTTGTGTGTTCTGAAATGTCGTTCTGTTTTTTGAAATGTTGTGTTTTTGAAATATCGTTGTGTTTTCTGTATTGTCGTCGTGTTTTTTGAAATGTTGAAATAGGAATCGGCTGAAATTGAGTTTCAATCCAATACCAGTGTTAAATTAATAAGTAGGCTTTTGCCTCACTGCGTGGATGAGACTGTGATCATTCTTTGTGTGTGTGTGTGTGTTACATTTGTCATTATATATTTAATTATATCAAAATTGTATCATTTTATTTAATCACTGGCCATTATATCATTTATTTCATCACTGACCATAGGTATTGGTTCTCAGCATGAAGCACTGTTTCTGCGTAAGCATGTCTATCTGTAACAATTTCTTTGTATGGTTATATAAAATTTTATCAACACCCTTTACATACAATAATTTGACAGTGCCCTGGTATAATGTAAATTAAGCTAGACTTCATACATAACTTCAGTTACTTTATAAACAAACATGCCCCTCTCCGTAAATTTAGAATTAAAGGGCGCGAGAACCCTTGGTTTTCTATTGACCTGGCAGATCTATTGCGTAAACGTAATGCCTCCTGGGCCAAGGCTCGTGAGTCAAATTTAGAGACTGATTGGCTTAAATTTAGACAACTCAGAAATAAATTTACCCTTTTGCTTAGAAAAACTAAAGCCGACTATTACCTGTCCTCCACCCTCGGAAATCTCAATAACCCAAAAATTTTTTGGAAAACTATCAAATCATTGTCCGCTAACAATGACACAACTAATCTTCCTCTCAATATACTTGTCGACGACACCAGAATAACTGATAAGACAGCAATATTAAATCACTTTAACAGACATTTTATTTCAT